GCCGGGCGGGGAGGGGCGGCGCTGCTGCTGGCACCCGCCTCTCCCATCCCTTCTCTGGCCGGAGCTGGCCCCGCAGTGATGTTTGTTCAACTGCTGTTTGCCTTCTGCAGGTCCCAGGGGGCCGGGGGCTCGGGAGGGGTGGGGAGAACAATGCTGGCCCTCTGCCTGCCCCCCCGATGCGTTAAGCACGCTGTCCAGCCCCAGTTCATCGGGAACCGCGGGTCGGTGCTGCCGGTGCCGCGGGGCAGGGTCGGCTCCTGGCCACGAAGGATGCCCGGACTCTGCGGCTGCTGGGGTGCCTCCTCCGGGCTGAACCGTGACCACAGCCCCTTGTGACTGTGTGGTTGGGGGGTCCTGGAGGCAGCAGATTTCCTTCTGCAGGCAGGCTGGAAGCTTGGGAATGGTTTTGATGTTGTTATCCTGAAGTGGATGGGCCAATAATAGGAGGAAGTTCAGAGCGTGTTTTCATTAAGCTGTGCCTGGGGAAGTTATGAAGGAGATATTCAGGGTCCTTGGGGAAGAGGAAGAGAGCAGATCAGAAACCATCTCCAAAATCCAGTAGCTAACAGCAAAAACTTAGTGCTCTTCCTCAAAATTATCTGTGCTAAGGCCGCACAGGAAAGCATTTGACTGTAATAATACACGGTAGCAGCAGAAGAAACAACTTTTCATGACCCTTCAGTTTTTGGTGTCAGGTTCAGTTTTTTTCCTGATCTATTCTCTGGATGCATTTTATGACATCTGCAACTAACTTTAAGCATTTCCCTCTGGGCAGACAGACCTGCCCCTGCCACCCCCCTGTCCCGGGACAGGCTGAGCCTTTGCTTTCCTCCCCTGTGTTCGGTACAGATGCTCTGCGTTGGCGAGGCTGGTGCTGGAGGGGAATGAGCTGCTTTGGGTGCACGTGCTGGCGTGGAGCTGTGCTCGGGGCTCTGCTGCAAGTGTTCGGAGCCCTGGCGCGTTCGCAGCGGATTAAGGATTTCTTCCATTAAGATCCTGCGGCGTCACTGCTCAGCTGGTGCCGTGCTGCAGCTGGACCGTGCCGGTGCAGACGGCATCGCCTGCGCTGTGCTCGTGGCTGTGCAGCATCACCGCTTGGGCTGCTGCTCTTCCCATTGTCGGATTTCCCTGGCAGTGTCCCTGCCTGAGCCCGGGAGGAGCCATAGGGGAATTCTTGTCTCCTGCTGCTTGTAGTTCCTGTTTGGATTCCTCACTTCTGGGGAATGGCTTCTGCAGCATCCCACAGCCCCCCAACCAGCTCTTCCTGAGCCTTCTCCCCTGGGGTGACAGCGCTTCCCTGGTAAACTGCTGGATATCGACCCTGCCCTTTGCACAGAGACATGATATACTGCGCGGTGATGTCTAATACAATGTGCAGCGATGTTAACATGCGCTCCAAGAAACGGGGAAGAACTCCTGCCTCCATTAAATCATGTGTCTATTGCTGTTGCAAACCTCCAGGCAGGAACCTTGCCCTGCACGGCTGCTGTCTGTCTGGAAGCAGCTGAGGTGGGAGCTGACTTTGACATTTTTACAGACGTGATGAGTTGTTCAGTGCTGTGCAAACGCTCCTGTATTTAAAAGGCTGTACTGACCCGGACTGTGTGCAGTAAGCAGTTAAATGCTTCTCTACTTTTTGTTAAAATTCAGTTTTCAAGTGCTGACCAAGTCAGAAGCAAATCGAATGCAGCTGGATGCTGGGCTCTAGAAGGGAATGGCTGGGAGCCAACTGGCCGCCCCGGAGCTCTTCACACCACAATAGGAAAAATGCCGCGGGTGGGAAACTCCCTTCCGCGTGCGGCCGGCCAGGAGAAGTTAACTGTGCAGACCCCGCCGGCCGCAAACGCAGGATGGATCTCTCGCAAGATCCCTGTTTACTCTGCTTTTAAGTTAGTGGCTGGTGGCCAGCTGAGTAGGAGACTTTATTTTGGGTGGTTTCTTGGCATTTACTTCCCGCATTGCAGGGCGTCAGTGGCCGAGCACCTTCCCTTTGCTGCAGAGTCTGTAGCGGGGTAGAGCTGGTGGCTGTCAGCACTGTGCCCAGGCTCAGCTGCCGTCTGACTGCTTTTTCCTGTATTTTTTTTTTAATTGGTAAAAGGGGATCTTTCACTGCAGGCGATGCTGCATGCAGCCGGGGGGGCTGTGGGGTGCTCCTGCCGCAGCCCCCGGAGCTCTCCCCATCCTGGCCCAAGGCAGCAGGGAGCTGGCTGCTCCGGGCTCGGGGGGCGGTGGGG